CGACCCGGGCTTTGCTGCCCCCCCCCCCCCCCCCCCCCCTGAACAGGGGGACCAAACCTTACAACACTCCACCCAGAAATTAAATTAGGGGTAGGTATCCAGTACATTAAATATGGCCAACATGGGAGATTGCTGTTGCAGAACTGAAAAAAAAAACAAACAACCATGATTTATGAAGTTTAAACAATTGCTTTGAGATAACATTAATGTAATTTCTGAAGTGGTTTTTAATCATTTCAAGTCTACAGCTTTCATTAAACTTACACCTGATAATTCTGTTTTGAAAGTCCTTGTTTGGGCTCTTCATGTTAAAAAGGGACATAATGCTCTGTCCCACATTAGCAACTGTATTTCTGTGTTGTGACACAGGCTTCTAATGGAGACTGCATGCACCGGTTTCCCGGTTCAATGCAATTATAGAGGCATGGACACTGTTGTCACCATCTGGAAACCTGCCCTGAGAAATGCCATGCAGTCATCACAACAGTTCAGGCATGTAGATCCGAAGTGGCAGAATCAGGCAGTAGATCAGATACCTTTGTATGCCTCTCTGAAAGTAATGTCACATTTTTACTAGGGGGTCTGAATTCCCTGTCCATTGAGAGTGCCTCAGTGGGCAATAAAGACATACATTCTTATGTTAACGCTTCAATGCTTTATTTCAAACATAATAACATAAAATAGAGGCAATTGCATAATGGCTTCATTATATTGTATATGAACTAAGTTTGGTTGGTTCTGTTATTTCCGCTGTACACAGACAACAGGAGTCATTCTGTACATGAAAAACAGGGAGCCAAGAGTTCCTACTGCAAATTTGCACTGAACAGTTGAAGGAGTTCGAGAACACAATGTTCAGGATAATAAGATGGGCATTACCGGTACGGGGAGGGGGGCAGGAGAAAAATCACTTTAATACAGTTCGTCAGGTTATGTATATGCCATGGGGCTGAGCTGGAAAAATAAAACTGAACACTAATTTTTAAACAGCACAGAAGCAGAGAACAAAGCACATACCTTGGAAAGATAGATGTTGTTACCAGTTCTCCCAGCTTTCCCGATCGTTTTAAGGCCATGGATTGCTGAAGAAAAACTTGTTAAATCATTATGCCTAAGACAAGAAAGAAAAAAAAAAACATTATTTTGCTTTCATATGAGTGCATGCCAATTTTTCATTGCCATTTGTAAAACAAAAAAAACAAAAAAAACAAAAAAATGGGCATTATACTCAGAAACGGAAACAGTAGGTTAAGTGTGGTCACAATTTTTACAGACCAGGGAACAAAACTTTGATGGAAAAACCTGACAGTATTTTATAGATGAGCAGCTATAAATGCAATAACCTGAAATCTAAAAAAACACAATGCAGTTTAGAGGAAGAAAGCTGGCAAGATGATGATGAACACATACACCCCCACCTCAATTGTCCCAGATTCCATGCAACTGCTCTCACATTTAAAAATAATCATAGGGTCCCGCAGATCTAGGCCATGTCCCCGAGCCAAGTTCTGGAACAATGGATCCCCAACAATGCCAGGTTCCACACTGCCAGATGGAGTGATCTCCTGCCTGACAGGAGCTACATAGTTAAAGAGATGATGTACATCACCTCAGAGATAGACAGAGATCTCGGTCTCAGATAATTGCCATTCATCATACCACTAATCATGCTTCAGAAGCGGAGGGAGTGGACGACAATCCACTGACCCCTAATCCGAGCAGTCTCAACTGCAAAACGGACTGCAAATAAGTGTTTTAAGTTAAATCCATGGTCCATTTATCCTTTTGAAATGTGGCCACAGAGTACGATTTTGATCTGCCTGATCAACACTTTAACATTACTATTTTGTAGGAAAGCCTACCTAAATAATCCATTAAAAATTGTATCAACCACGAAAATAATAAAATTACTAAGATTTTGTTTAATCTGGTCATAATTTATCTCATATCTTGCTGGATACCAGGAAAGCCATGATGAATGTGATATACATTAGCAGTCAAAGGGTTAAAGAACACAGGAGAATAACAATATGGTAGCTGCCATTGCCAGGTTGCTTTTAAAAATACAGTTCTGGTAGTGCCATCCTCATTTTTGCTTCTAGTACATGTCCCATTTCAGTATTTTATTATTTTGCCTCCCCTCCGTCTTCAGTATAAAATAAATAAATAAAATTCCAGCAATAATAACTTGCACAATGCTCCATTGCTGCCTTCTGGGTTAAAATGACGCACAGTGTCATTTGTCCTACTTCCTGTGAGGCCTGTGCCCTGGGGGTGCATCTGTAAGCTGCCCTGGATTCACAAAGCAACGCTGCAAAGAAAGGCACCACATTATTATATAGTGTTGTTTTCTGCAGCATTTAGGACCTACACATTGCAGGAGGTCAGAAGAAGAGAAGGATGACCTGGTACATTTCATTACATCAAGAAACGATACATTTTAAAGAAACTGGGTGATTACATGGTGAAATTGGGCCTTAAATATCTAGTGCATGCTTGACTTAGAATATGCATTATGACGGTCCAGACCTTTACTAACATCCATGCCTGGCTTACGTCAATGATGCACAAAGTAGTGAAGCTACACCTCCAAGAACAAGTCAGCAATAGCAGCTCCCATATTTCCATTCTCCCCGATACCCCTAAGAGGAATCTGCCAAAAGAAAAAGATACCTTTGTGAGAAGCTTAATTGGGAGCTGCCAGTCTGACTCCTGAGCTGCAATGACACCACTTGCAGTGAAGCTAAATAGGTTCATCTTCACTGGTGTTGGAATAAGACCTTGAGGTCAGAGGGTGGTAGCCTCCATTTCAACAATATAGATTAAAACATGTGCAAATAAGGTTTCATCATTCATTATTACCATAGCGGACACCATGGGGTCCATTTACAAGCAGCAATATGGCCTTACCACAGCCACACCGCGGCATTAAAAAAAAAAACAACTACTGCACACTTATAAAGAACAGCAATATTTTAAAGCCTGTGAAGCACAATAATAAAAAAAAAATCTGTGAAAGTCAATGACCAGGTGCCCTCCAATTACAGAGTTCTCTCTGCTGTGCAATGCAGGTTATGGTAGGTCTTAACCTCCGCCCAGTTATTTATTTATTACTGGTGTTTATATAGCGCCTACAATTTACACAGCACTTTACATAGTGCACATTCACATCAGTCCCTGCCCTCAAGGAGCTTACAATCTAAGGTCCTGGGTTTACATGCATACATAGACTAGGACTATTTAGACAGAAGTCAGTTGACCTTCCAGCATGTCTTTGTTGTGTGGGAGGAAATTAAGTACACAGAGAAAACCCATGCAAGCACAGGAAGAACTTGCAAACTCCATACAGATAGTGTCCTGAACTGGATTTGACCCCTAGTACTGCAAGGCAGAAGCGGTAACCACTAAACTACAGTATATGCTGAGATGTTGCCAAGCAGAGATTTGTCCGAGCCCACTCAAAAAACTGTGAATGTCACCCCCTCCTCCCGACCCAATCAGTGGTGGCAGTTGCAGAGGCCCCGCCCCTTTGTGACACATAGCTGAAGGGCAGGCAATCTGCTTCCCCGCAACTGACTGGGTTGGGAGGAAGGGGTGGCAGTCACCGTTTTGATCAGGCTTGGGTGAATTTAAGCCCAATCTGAGTTTGCACCAAGCCCAACCTACTGTCACTGAGAAATATACTATACTCCTCAGCACCATCTATGAGCACTAGTGCTGTGCGAACAGCATCCGCACTGCTAAACCCATAAGAGTCAGTACCACCACAATTAAGCCAAAACACAAGGCCTAAATTGTGTAAAATGTTATGCAAAATGTAGATGGCGCTGTAGTGCTATGCTAGTCTATATGTTCATCCTTATCTATGATAAACAGGAAGTTCTCTCTGTATGCTGTATTCTGATGTAATATTCTCCTAAGTAAAGCTTAATTCAGTATTCCACAACATCTCAGTGCTTCATCTAAACACATAATCAACAGGTTATGGGCCCAGGCACTAAACAGAACACTGCAAGTCAACAAGAGCCGCATCCAAGCTACTGAAAGATGGCAAATTGTTCAGATAGGAAGTTTGCAATTGCAAAGCTCAACAATAGCAACTACCAACTATGGAAGTGTAAGAAAGAAAAGAAAATACAGCTAAAAAATTTATGCGGCCTGCACAACAGAAACTGCATGAGCGTTCACACCTAAACAGTAAACTACTGTATATCTGCTATGCAAGTTATATAACATGAGACTAGAAAAAGGCCAGGAAATGTGTGAACATGGGAATGTCATGCTGGAAATCGTAGAACAGCAGGAAATGTGTGAACATGGGAATGTCATGCTGGAAATCGTAGAACAGCTACGTGCGAATTAAAGAGGAAATGAAAGATAACCATGTGGTGGCATTACTGCTATGCAGCCTTCCAGAGTCATACAATGCTCTTATTAACGCCCTATAAACCAGACCTGAGCAGGAACGGACACTAAAATATGCCAAAGGAAAATGAATCGATGAATATGACAGAAGAAAAGGAAATATGCACAATGAAGAAATTGAGAAAGCCCTTAGAGGTGAATGAGAGTTCACAGCAAAACAAAGGAAGCTTTCGCTGTAAAAAGACTGGTCACCTGAAAAAAGACTGTTCGATCTGGAAAGCTGAGCAGTGAAAGCGAGAGGCACCTACAAGAGAAAGAACGTTCTCACAGTTCAATTCTGAGGTGATGAAATGTACAATCCGAAACGATAAGCAAATCCTTGCAAAAGGAAAAATTGGATAAACACCTGTACAAACTCATCACCATAGACGAACAAGTCAAAACAGCCACTCATAATTCACACAACAAATGTATCCATCTATGGCACAGACGACTAGGGCACTGAAACCCAGAAGCCATAAAAGCACATTATAAAGCGAGACGTATCAGGAGATACAACCATACTACCCTGCCAAATGCCCATGACAAACAAATGCTGTATGGAAGCAAAGGCCACATGTACCCCACTTCCACAGACCACTCCAAGAAAAAGCACCGACCCCATGGAGCTCATATACAGTGACGTGTGTGTGGACCAATAAAAACTCCCACATCAGGTGGGAATAGATATCTACCTACTTTCAGTGATGATTATTCCAGGTACACAACAACCTATCTGATGAAGCACAAGAATGAAACATCAGAAAAACTTCAAGAGTTTGTAACCATATCCAGCAACAAATTCTGGCAACCAGGAATTATATGCACCGATAATGGAGAGGAAGACATCAGTAAGGAAGTGGAATCATATCTGAAGAAACAAGGTATGGTACACCAGACCACCACACCATACACTCCTGAACAAAATGGTGCAGCAGAACGGAAGAATTGCACTCCTATAGAAATGGCCAGATACATGCTGTTAGACACCAACCTACCGAAGAAATACTGGGGAGAGCAGTGCTGACTATAGCAACATACCTACAGAACAGACCAACAGTCGTTAAAGACACCCCATTTGAAATGTGGCATGGATCGAAGCCTAGCTTAGGACACAGAGTGTTTGGATGTAAAGCTTACGCATATATTCCCAACATGAAGCGATCCAAGTTGAGGAACACAGCCATAAATGGTATTCTGATGGGCTATAGTGAACAAAGTAAGGGATAGAGAATCCTCCACCCAAAGACTGATAAAGTGACAATAAGTCGCAGCGTTTCTTTCAATAAGAACCTATCACCAGACACAATGATCCCTGCAAGTTGTGAAGTGAATTTGCACAGTGAACCATCAAAAAGAACAAGGAGGTGGCACTTACAATGATTAAGTCAAATTCCATGTTAAATTCTGCTGAACAACCTGAAATTAGAGTATCCACTCTGGCAACGTGTCCGTGCCCGTACCAAGGCATGGACATGCAGTAACAGGGATGGGAGGAAGCGTCAATGTGTTACAAGTGGGACTTGCACTTGTATTTCATTGAAACTACAAATCCATCTGCTGTGGTGGCTGATGAGACTTGTAGTTTCTCTATTCCCCAATCCTGTCAAAGGATCTCTAAATGAGTGATGCAGCTGT